AAAATAAAAATAAAGCAAAATGACTAGGAACAATTGACTAGAAATAATTTATTTAATAGTCACGACGTTTGCTGTAATATCTGAGAAAGCACCTCCAATCCGGAGTTTACTGCAATTTGTCTACTTAAAATTGGATCTCCTATCTAATCTCAAGTTATATAGACTCCTCATATTTGATATCCTGCGAGGTGCAAGCTATCCAACAACTATGTAACTGAATGTTGGGCTATTAGTTTATACGATCACAGTGACGAGATACATACAATAGGTATTTTAATATGATTCATAAATGAATTAAAAGTCACAGAAATAATATGTGCATGCTCTAATAATATAGTTAATAATGTACTGATTATAATGTAAAAGCAACAAGTGACTAGATATAAATTTATGCTAGGAACACCGATATAAAGCAGATTATAATTCACAATTTCCCTACCTATTATTATTAAACACTCTAAAGCGAATTATAGGTATCGTATTATCTAGTATCGGCCTAATCTAACAACACAGTGCTAAAAAATATATTTCTATTCAAAGCTGGAGGAAATTCAATAAAAAGATTTGCAACTCTTTATTCATAAATATTTTTAGTACCAGAAAATTTCTGAATAATGACTAAAAGAGTAAAATTTATATGAATGGACATATTATGGTCCAGCTCATTTTTTCAAAAGCTCATTGTACTTGGTTTAATTAACATTTACTAGTGAATTTAGAGTCTACAATAATCAAGCGCGAGAGAAACGAAGTGGCGTTTAAGATTTCCGCGACCTAAGGGCTGCTAACGGGTTGAGCCGCCGCCTGGGCGTGCTATCGGTCGATGAGGAACCGCTTTTGTTTTTTTGTTTAGATTTATTTTTCTCTTTGCTAGTCGTGGCCGAGGAGGAGGTTTTCACCGATTTCCCGGATTTGCCCGCAGCGGTGGTCGAGCTCGCGCTCGGTGACACCGCGGCGGCTGCGGCCGGGGCTTTATCTGCTGTACTGGGGTTTTGGGATTGGGTTTGGGTTTTAGGGCTTACTTGTACCTCACACGGGGGCGGCGCGCTCCTGTAAGACGGCACGATCTTGAAGGTCACCGAACCTCGTGCTTCCCGCTGTAACACAAAGCGGAATCCTCCATTGACAATTTTAGAAAATGTATAGAAGGACCGGAGAGAAATCCATTATTTTGTGATCTTAGGAATAAGCTAAAATAATGGGTTTCTGTCCAGTTTCCCTAATAAATATATATTGAAAAAAACATCATCTGGATTTAACAATGTCTATATTATATCACTTTGAATTAAAATCTTGAAGTGTCACGATATGCAAAATCCACCGATATTACATTTTTCTGCATTTCCATATTTTAATAAATTATTGATGCATAGATATTGACAATTTAATTATGTTTTAAATTTGAAGAAAGAAATGGTCGACATGACTGTGCTCATATACGATTTACGGCTGAGGATGCGAATAATACTCACGAGTATTTTTTGCAAGGCATTGACAGATTGATTGGCCACCGGAATCCCATTAATTTCTCTGATCTCGTCACCCACGTGAAGGGTCGCTTGTCTGTGTATCATGCCGCCGTGCATAATTCGTGCCACCACGCATTTCCCATCCTCGTTCATTTTTAAAGTGATTCCCTGCGGACAGACAAGTTTACCTACTCACCGCATTTCTCTTGATATTTACTCTGTGTATTTTTCAAATCTACAATGTCCGCATTAATTAGAAGTGAAAATTGAAACGACTATAATAAAAATTGACCCTAATTAAACGTGTACTTAATTACTCAGAATTAGTGTCCGTGAATGCGTCTTGAATTAAATTGCAACACAAGTTTTTACGAAATACATAATTACTAAACTTACAATTAGACTCTGGAGTGAATGTGATTCAACTTGTAATCCTGACATTAAAAGGGAGGCAACTTTTAATAGAAGCAGTGTAAAAGTTTCGAATTCTCATTTATTGAACGGTCGTAGAGTTTAATTGAGGAATCTGGTCCAATGCCTTACCATCGGCTCGTCGGTGTTCTTTTGGAACTGGACCAGCCTGACGCGCGTTACGTTTTCGAGGTCCAGGTCACCATTTTGGCCCTCGAGATCGTCGCCCCCGTTCAGATAAGGGAGGAGCGGCGGCGGCGTTACTCTGGTGGCTTCCTCGCCGTAGACCTCGTGTCCCGCTACGTCGTGAGCTTGCAAAAGCGCCTGGAACAGGAAAATCGGGCGCACGGAGAATTAAACACCGAACGGTACACACAGGTAGAGTACGTGTAATCAAAACAAACGAAATGAAATAGCGGATAGGCGCGGTACTATTTCGGGTATCATGGACGCAATATCGTCCACACCGTTTGAACACCCGACTGTACGTAAACATCGGGAACGCTTCTGTTTTTCGTTCCACGGAATTTCCGGATATTGCGATCATTTTTTTTCTACTCTCGCCACTCTTTTTTGCCACTCTGTTTGAGGCAGTGAACGCGTTCCGCTGGACGTGAATCGGAGGGAATATTTTTAGAAACAAAACATCAAATCGTTTAATACGCATATAATTCTTCTCAGACTTTTGATTAATCAACAATTTTCTAAATCGAATTCGTAACAACGGTGTTACTGTTAAAATTTAATCATCAGTTGCCTTCGCGTATGTGAAAAATCGAATAGTGTCATGTTGGAAATAACGAGCGACTGTTCGGGAAAAAATTTGCAACATGAAAACAATTTTGCCACGAAATACTAAAACACTGTGGGACAATCATTTTCGAGTATGAAACTTCGCGAATAGCCTGGAAATAGCACCGTTTTTTACAGCGAGTGAAACGTTTGCAAAAACTGGACGAAACCGTGCGAATCACGTTTACACGTCATGAAGTACGTATCGATTTAGAAAAAGTTTCGTTGACAGGCAATTTTGTTTTTATATTAGAAAAAAGACGTTTTACCAAATTAATTAAATCGCCATAATTACTCTTTCTAATTAAGAGTTAATGTGTCACTATTAGAAGTATTTACTGCCATGAAACGTCTCGTTGGACCGTAACTGTGCGTTCGTGACTCCGATATAATGGGTAGTTGCTCTATTACTTGAAACAAGCTATTCACCTTAGGATGCTCGAACTAGCAGTTCTCAATCACGATTTCCTCTGTCCCCAAGTTTCACCCATCGCTCGAACACGTTTCAAATCAAGGAGTTCCATAAGCTGTTCCCAATCCAATAAAGTAATTTAACTTGCATTTTGTCTGCGTTTATCGTTCTCATTGCACTAACCAATAAATTATTATATTTACAACGTCTCAACGAGTATAATAAAGCATTTACTCTATATTTACGTAATACGTTTTCTTACTTTTTTTTTTTAATATACTTCATTTCCATTTACAATAACTCATTGCAAATAGAAAGAATTGAATTAAAAGAGAGCATCAATTTGCGAAAATTGTTTCAGTTGATCAACCAATAACTGAATTTTTGTATATTCATAAAACCATTCCACTCATCACGTTTCTTTAATTTATTGCTAATGAAATTCGATGAACATTTTTCGCCTGTACACACGTCATATTTCACCGTCCATAATACAACGTTTTATTTACCAATGACATTTATTTAAATATTAAATCATGCAAATACGAAGCATTCACGTTTCATCTGACATACAGTCGAATCGCATTTATTTTAATGCTACGTTGAGCTTCAGCTTGTTGGGAGAAATTAATGTTGAAACGATCTGGATTTAGTTCAAGGTTCATTATACGTAAAATTGTTATAGACTATGTACAGTTAAGCTAGATTAGATGCTTCACCTACACCTCATATATAATAACCGATGCTTGTTACGAAGGTATTTAGCAACCATAGGTTTGCCAACTAAACGAGACTGCCTTAGAAAACAATTCGTGATTAATTAGAAAATTTTAATTCAGTACACCTTGCCTGAACGTTGTCAAACCTTATTTGAAGTAATTCAATTATAGCAAAAGATTCAAGTCATTTAATTGTTGAATGCACAATTCAATTGTACCATGTATTTAATATATTATAGTTCCAACAGATATAATTATAGAAACTTTTGACTGGTTTCAAGCGAGACTTGAGTAGTTACACTGATTATAAAAAATTTTTCAATTATGATTTTCCCAAGAGCAATTCATTAAACATAAGCCCAGTGAAGTAACACGTTGTACGTGACGACGACCGCGAGGGGTTAACAGTCTCGTTGAGGGACTCTCGAAAAGTAGCCGGACGAGCGGAGGAGAGTCCGGCGGAGGTTCCCCATCATCGATTTCCAACACCGCAGCATCGACACGTTCAACGAGCCTCCGAGCCCTTTTCAAGCCGCGTAATGAGAGGAGAGTCACGTCAGTCGGTTTCAAAAGCGGAAGAAGATGAAGAGAAAAAGAAAAACGGGCCAGAAGTGGAGAGACAGCTTGTCCTCTTACACGAGTCAGCGGTACGCGACGCACGATACGGCATGTCGCGTTGTGCGAAATGCTCTACGCTTCCAGACTATCGGAATAATTCGCTGGAAGTATGCCAGTACGTCTGAAGAGGTGACGCAGAAAATGCAACGCCCGGTGTGGAAAATCTTGTTAAACCGTGTTACGTAGCATGTCAAGCATCTACTCACGCGCTTTCCTAACTTCATTACATTCAAGTTTGTAATATATGTAATTCAAGATAAATGGCTAATTGAGTTAAAAATAAAGTAAATCGTCCAGCGTGGAGATAAGAAAAATCTTCTGCGCTCGAAATGAAGAAGAAAACTCCATTAAACAATTTTGAAATGGAGAAAGCTTCAGACCTCTATGGAATTTCAATTCGAATCCTGATGGAATTTTAATTCGAATCCTGAACATCAAATATTTATGTAAGAATGATTCATGAAATGATTGAAACAAAAAAATTAGATGAAGAAACATAAGGAAACACAAGTTACGCTCGAAATCGAACTAAAATCGCCACATGACTCGCATTGATAG